GTGTTTGTCACAGTGCCCATGTGAATGTTAGAGGAATCAATTGAATCAGTTGTCCCCTTCCACCATGTTGGTCTAGGGGTGGAACTCAGGTTTGGTGACAAGTGCCTTTATCTGCTGAACCACGTGCCTGCAAAACACACACACACACACACACACACACACACACACACACACACACACACACACACACACTTTTGAGACAGGGTCTCTCTACATAGCCCCAGCTATCCTGGAATTTACTATGCAGATGAGGCTGTCCTTGAACTCAGAGATCTACGTGCCTCTGCCTCTCTAGTGCTGGGATTAAAGGCATGTGTTACTATTCCTGGCCCCACATAGCCCTATATAGATATATTTTAATACTTCTCTGCCCCGTGTTCCTTCTCATCTTTCTCCCAACTAGGCGAATCCCCTGCACAGCGCTTTCCTTCCAAACCTTTGTCTTATGTCACTTCGGAGGTTCCTGTGAGACATGATCCTTATAGTTGGAGTCACGGAGAGCACTGATTTTTATGCTCATAGCTGTTTGAACTAAAGATACGCTGGGAACACATACAATCACCCTACCCAGCTTTCAACAATAGACTAAGTGGTATGTGGGTAATTGCTTCCTTCTTAAAAATGTCATGCTCAATGTGGTGGTGGTACATGCCTGTAGTCTCAGAACTTTGGAGGCTGAGACAGGAGGATTAAGTTCAAAGTCATCCTGAGCTGCATAGCAAGACTATATCTCCAACTACCAACACAGGATAAGGAATCTGCAGACATTGGCTCGGCCTCCACAGCTGTGACTGGAGGCCACGTCTTATTCTTCGGTCTTCATTGCCCTGCCCACGAACAAAGAGCATAATGTTGCTCTAAGTCTTTGAGGTTCCCACATAGTGGGGAACTGGGGATAGAAGTCAGAGACCACACGTGCCAGGCCAGCCCCCAGCCACAGAGAGAAATCTTCGGCATTCTATTTACTGTTGACGTTGAGACAGTGTCCGATCTCATTGTGAACTCATTCTATAGCCCAGGCAGGCCTAGAACTTGCGATCCTCCTGCCTCAGCCTCTCAGGTAGCTGGGACAACAGGTCTACAACAACAGGTTCAATGGACCCTTCTTCTGGAGTGGTATGACCAGGGATAGAGCCTTGGTTCCAGGTCCCAGAGTCTCTTCTCCCATTGAGGTGAGAACCTGACCCAGAGGTGCCCGTTTTGAAGGAATGTCTCAGTGGCATCCCCTGCACTCTCAGAACAATGTAGCCACATCACTGTCTAGTTCCAACAAACCTGTCATCATTCCTCAAACCTCCCCTCCCCCCTCCCTCTCCCCAGCCCTTGGGAATCACAGCCTGCTTTTGGGTATGGATCTGCCTGTCTTAGATATTTCCGGTAAATGGAATTGTATACTGTGCCCACTGTGTGCCCGACGTCTTTGATTTAGCATCATCTTTTTGAATTTTCTCTTCGTTGACGCTTGTTTGTTTTTTTGATGGCCAAGTCAAACTCTTTGGTGTGGCTACTACATGTTTTGTTTATCCATTTACTTGTTATTTCCAGTTTTTGGCTATTGTCAACAAATCTGCTTACGAACATTCATGAACAAATTCTTATTTGTCCAGGGTGCACCTCTTCCCATGCTTCCAGCTCCGTTTTTCTTCCCCCCCTCCTCCTCCAGACCCTTGTTTTTCTTCCTTCTCCCCTTTTTGACCCCCTCCTTTCTCCCTCTTCTCTCTCTGCTCCTCTCTTCTTTTTTGATAGGATCTCTCTATGTAGCTCAGGCTGTCTTAAAATTGTGTAAATTGTGTGTGCATGTGTGTTTACTTGGCATGTGTGAAGGTCAGAGGTTGACATTGGTATGTCTTCATCAATTGCTCCTCCTCCTCCTCCCCTTCTCCTCCTCCTCTTCCTCCTCTTTTGAGACAGGGTTTCTCTGTGTAGCCCTGGCTGTCTTAGAACTCACTCTGTAGACCAGGCTGGCCTCAAACTCAAGAGATCTGCCTGCCTCTCCCTCCCAAGTGCTGGAATTAAAGGTGTGCGCCACCACATCCAGGCTTGCTCTTTTTTTTAACTTAAAAAAATGATTGAGATTATAATATAATCACAACATTTCACCCTTGTCTTTCCTCCTTCCCAACCTTCCTATATACTCCTCCTCACTCTCCTTCATGTTCACAGTCTCTGTTTTCACTAATTGCTATTGCATGCATATATATGTATACACACACACACACACACACATTCCTAAATATAACCTACTCAGTACTTATGATGTGACTTGTATGTATGTTTTCAGGGATGACCATTTGGCCCTGGACAACCAATTGGTGTGTTCTTCCCCGGGGAACCTACCTACCTCTTCTGCTCCCAGCATTCCTTAGTTGCCTGTGGTTCTTTAAGGCTGTGGGCTTCTCTCTGTCTACTTGGCACGTCCCTTGGTGTCTCCTTGTTTAGCTCACATTTGAGCCATCAAGTTGGTGAGACTTATGGGTGTAGCTTCTGACATTATTAGAGACACAACCTAACAGCAGATGACATGATCCTCTGGTTCTTACTTTTCCCCATCTTTTCTTCTACAGTGTTCCTTGAGCCTTAGATGCAGGACTGTTTTGTAGATTAGACCAGGCTCTACGACCCTGCATTTTGACTGGTTGTGGTTTTCTGTAGTGGACTCTGTCTGATGTACCACTTCATTTGTTGAGACAGGGTCTCACAGAACCTGAAGGTGACCATTTAAGCTGGACTGACTGGCCAGGGAGCCCCAGGAAACCCCCCATCTCTACCTGTCTCCCCCATGAAGTGGGTTATGGGGATAACCACCACACCTGACTTTTGACCGAAGTCCTAGGGATTGGAACTCAGGTCCTCAGGATTAGGCACTTCCCTAACCCCTGTCTTTGAACTCTTGATTCTTTGCCTCACTCTCCCAACTCATGGAGACCCAGGCTGGCATGTCCACACATGGCTGCTGTTGTGCGTTTCACTTTTCCTGGGAAGATGCCGAGCCGTGGACTAATGGATTTTGTAGTAACTCAAGTAAAGATTATCCCTGGAGGTCCTCCCACCAGTGTGGAGGTGTGTGCATAGGCGGAGATGGTTCCAGGCTTGCAATCAGAATTCCGGGAGGATTATCAAAGGGCCAGGAATGGATGAGGTCTGAGGCTCCATCTCCAGCAACTCTAATCCCAGCACTTAAGAGGTGGAGGCAGGAGGATCAGGAGTTTAATTCATCCTCATCTACACAGAGAGTTTGAGACCAGCCTGGGCTATATGAAACTCAAGTCCAAGAGAAGAAATGGATAGCGTAAGGGCTAGCAATGATCTCTCCTGGCTGGAGCGTCCTCTGACTCTTCAGCAGGCAGGTCTTGCAGGATAGAAGCGGAATCGCTTCCGTCCCCAGTGGTGGAGGCAGAGGAGGGGTGGTTGGGGCCAGGCAAGGATCCCTGAGCAGAGGGGACCCTAGCTGAGTCTTGGAGGTGGCCTGTACTTCCCAGATTCTCTTGGCAGGGTCGGGCTGGCGGAGCCGCCTCTTCCTCTGGAATCGCTCTCATGCTTGGCAAGGCTTGCCTGGGGCCCCACCCCCACATAAACAGCAGATGCGCTTCATTGCTCTGATTACTGCAAAAAAAAAAAAAAAAAAAAAAAAAAAAGCGGTGGCCAGGGCCCACGGCACGTCCAAGGATCACTCAGGGCCCAGGGAAAGCGGGGGCGGGGGGCGGGGGGGGGGGAGTGCACACACCCCAGAGGGTCAGCCTGCGCACACCCCAGGAGCAGGTGCTCTTCGAACTTCCCTCACAGGCCTGCCAACACCGTCCACCCGCGAGGCAGCAAGCTGCACGCAGCCCAGTTATTTCATCCCGGGGCCTCTCTCGGGCAGCAGCTGGCAGGGACAGTCGGGGGGCACATGTGCAGTGGCCGGTGGGATGTGGGCTGAGGGCTCTGGTTGACCCAAGGCCTTTCATCTCCACGCTTCTGCCAGTGTGCCCGGTTGTAGATCTCCCCCCCCCCCCCCCCCCCCCCCCCCCCCCCCCCCGGGCACCTTCTTGGGAGAGAGGGCAGGCAGGATCCGGTTTCATGGCCTATTCAGAGAGCAGAGCTCTGCCGTTGGGGCATTCCTGGCCTCAGCATCACTGGTAGTTAGTGTGTTATTTATGGCGCCCTCCTGACTCCCGTAGCTATTAGGCCTCTGGGTGGGGCACCATGCACTCATCCATCGATCAGTCAGCCTACTCCAGGAAAGGGTATCTGGTTCTCTTGCAGCAGGGCCCCAGCACTGTTCCAGAAATGGCAGAAACAAGGGCTGCGATGAAGCACTTCCCAAACACGCACAAAAGCCCTAGGTTCAATTCCTAGCACCCCGCCTCCCCAAAACAAAACACTGCAAAAATGGGTTGTTCTATGTAACTACCTACACCTCTCTCCTTCCTTTTAACTTTACTCTAAACTTTATTTATTGTCTGGCGGGTGGTGGTGGTAGGTATTCTCTTTCCACCATGTGGTTCCTGGGGATTGAACATAGGTCGTCATACTCGGGAGCAAAGGCCATCTTTTTTGTTTTGTTTTGTTTTGGAGACAGGGTTTCTCTGTGTAGCTTTGGAGTCTTTCCTGGAACTCACTCTGTAGACCAGGCTGGCCTCGAACTCACAGAGATCCTCCTGGCTCTCTGCCTCCCAAGTGCTGGGATTAAAGGCGTGCGCTGCCGCAGCTGCTGCAGCCACCACAGCTACCACTGCCCAGCTTCCACTGAGCCATCTTAAGGACCCAATCTTCTGCACCGCCCCCCTTTGGAGAATGGGTCTTTTGACACAGCCCTGTTTAGCCAGAAACTCACTCTGTAGCCCAGGCTGGCCTCAGACTCACAGAGATGCTCTTGCCTCTGCCTCCCTGGTGCTGGGATTAAGGGTGTGTGAGCCACGGTGGTCAGCAGTGCCGACTTTTTTAAGTGTCCCAAGACATTAATGAAATGTTACATTTCTTCTTTTTTTTTTTCTCCTCTTCCTCCTCCTCCTTTCCAGCGCGTCTCACAGAGAGCCTGGCAGCTGGGTCAAGGAATGGAAGTAAAGCAGTCCTCAGAGCCTGGTGTGCCAGCATCCAGCAACAAGGACAAGGGCCTGGTCTGAAAACAAGAGAAAGTAAGGGCTGACATTTGATATTTTGTCTC